TGTCGGGCTCTAAGAGCGCCGTGTACACAGGTGTCTGGCTCTAAGAGCGCCGTGTACACAGGTGTCGGGCTCTAAGAGCGCCATGTACACACGCAGTTGTCTGGCTTTAGAAGCATTATACTAATGGTGATGGGTTTTGAGCCCTAAGACTTTTATATACACACGTTTTGGCTTCTAAGGGTGTTTTACATGGAGGCAGGATGGATGACAATGGTTAATATTAATGGTTAATGTGACAGAGTAATGTCATCAGCTGGTTATTATTGGTTAATATTACAGAGTAATGTCACCGGGCCGGTTATTATTGGTTAATATTACAGAGTAATGTCATCAGCTGGTTATTATTGGTTAATATTACAGAGTAATGTCATCAGCTGGTTATTATTGGTTAATATTACTGAGTAATGTCACCGGGCCGGTTATTATTGGTTAATATTACAGAGTAATGTCACCGGGCCGGTGGTTATTGGTTAATATTGCAGAGTAATGTCACCGGGCCGGTGGTTATTGGTTAATATTGCAGAGTAATGTCACCGGGCCGGTGGTTATTGGTTAATATTGCAGAGTAATGTCACCGGGCCGGTTATTATTGGTTAATATTGCAGAGTAATGTCACCGGGCTGGTTATTATTGGTTAATATTGCAGAGTAATGTCACCGGGCTGGTTATTATTGGTTAATATTACAGAGTAATGTAACAGGGCTGGTTATTATTGGTTAATATTACAGAGTAATGTCACCGGGCCGGTTATTATTGGTTAATATTACAGAGTAATGTCACCGGGCCGGTTATTATTGGTTAATATTACAGAGTAATGTCACCGGGCCGGTTATTATTTAATGCTACAGAGTAATGTCACCGGGCCGGTTATTATTGGTTAATATTGCAGAGTAATGTAACAGGGCTGGTTATTATTGGTTAATATTACAGAGTAATGTCACCGGGCCGGTTATTATTGGTTAATATTACAGAGTAATGTAACAGGGCTGGTTATTATTGGTTAATATTACAGAGTAATGTCACCGGGCCGGTTATTATTGGTTAATATTACAGAGTAATGTCACCGGGCCGGTTATTATTGGTTAATACTACAGAGTAATGTCACCGGGCCAGTTATTATTTAATGCTACAGAGTAATGTCACCGGGCCGGTTATTATTGGTTAATATTGCAGAGTAATGTAACAGGGCTGGTTATTATTGGTTAATATTACAGAGTAATGTCACCGGGCCAGTTATTATTTAATGCTACAGAGTAATGTCACCGGGCCGGTTATTATTGGTTAATATTACAGAGTAATGTCACCGGGCCGGTTATTATTGGTTAATATTACAGAGTAATGTAAAGTGGCCGGTTATTATTGGTTAATATTACAGAGTAATGTCACCGGGCCGGTTATTATTGGTTAGTATTACAGAGTAATGTCACCGGGCCGGTTATTATTGGTTAATATTACAGAGTAATGTCACCGGGCCGGTTATTATTGGTTACTATTACAGAGTAATGTCACCGGGCCGGTTATTATTGGTTACTATTACAGAGTAATGTCACCGGGCCAGTTATTATTGGTTACTATTACAGAGTAATGTAACGGGGCCGGTTATTATTGGTTAATATTACAGAGTAACGTAACGGGGCCGGTTATTATTGGTTAATATTACAGCATAATGTCACCGGGCCGGTTATTATTGGTTAATATTACAGAGTAATGTCACCGGGCCGGTTATTGTTGGTTAATATTACAGAGTAATGTAACGGGGCCGGTTATTATTGGTTAATATTACAGAGTAATGTCACCTGGCCGGTTATTATTGGTTAATATTACAGAGTAATGTAACGGGGCCGGTTATTATTGGTTAATATTACAGCATAATGTCACCGGGCCGGTTATTATTGGTTAATATTACAGAGTAATGTCACCGGGCCGGTTATTGTTGGTTAATGTGACAGCATAATGTCACCGGGCCAGTTATCCTGTCTGCCTACTCTCTAAAAGAAAGCAGTACTAGCAAGCTTATTTTTCCATGCAGTGAAGTGGTTAAGGAGTCACCTGCAGCGAGGGAGGTAGTCTAGTTATTGGGGCTTGGGGGTGGGGGGGAGAATCGGCTTCTTGTAAAATGATCCAGAGGCTCAGGAAGGATTGGGGGAGGTTATTGTCCCCTGGGGGTGGGGGGAAGATGAGGAGAGAGTGAAGTATTCCAGAGGTGAGTTGGCTTCCTCCCACCGCAGACAGGCACAGGGGATCCCCCGCCCCCCCTTACCTCTGCATCCACAGCTGGAGCCGTTTAAAGAATGGGGGGAATCACATTGACTAATACAGGGCCTGTGATATCAGCTGTGCATACAGCAACCATCACTGGCTATAGGCAGGTGTCACACCATGTACCAGAACCCTGTGTCCCTCTTCTGTCTGTATCACCTTGCAGTGTGAGGGACATACTGTGTCCCATAGCTCCTTCTGTCTGTTAAGATTTGTTTTTGGAAAATTGTATCCTTCTGGAGTTAAAGGACCACTCTAGGCACCCAGACCACTGCAGCTTAATGAAGTGGTCTGGGTGCCAGGTCCAGCTAGGTTTAACCCTTTCTTCTATAAACATAACAGTTTCAGAGAAACTGCTATGTTTATAATAAGGTTAATCCAGCCTCTAGTGGCTGTCTCATTGACAGCCGCTAGAGGGCTTCTGTGATTCTCACTGTGATTTTTCACAGTGAGAAGACACCAGCGTCCATAGGAAAGCATTGAGAATGCTTTCCTATGGACTGGCTGAATGTGCGCGCGGATCCTGCCGCACATGCGCATTCAGCCGATGACGACGAGAAGGAGGAGAGTGCTGGAGAAAGAGGTAAATTTAACCCCTTCCATCCCCTAGAGCCCGACGGGAGGGGGGCCCTGAGGGTGGGGGCACCCTCAGGGCACTATAGTGCCAGGAAAACGAGTATGTTTTCCTAGCACCATAGTGGTCCTTTAATATTTCTGAGCCGAGACGTGCAGAGGTTAATATTTCTGGGCCGAGACGTGCAGAGGTTAATATTTCTGGGCCGAGACGTGCAGAGGTTAATATTTCTGGGCCGAGACGTGCAGAGGTTAATATTTCTGAGCCGAGACGTGCAGAGGTTAATATTTCTGAGCCGAGACGTGCAGAGGTTAATATTTCTGGGCCGAGGCGTGCAGAGGTTAATATTTCTGGGCCGAGGCGTGCAGAGGTTAATATTTCTGAGCCGAGACGTGCAGAGGTTAATATTTCTGAGCCGAGACGTGCAGAGGTTAATATTTCTGGGCCGAGGCGTGCAGAGGTTAATATTTCTGAGCCGAGACGTGCAGAGGTTAATATTTCTGGGCCGAGGCGTGCAGAGGTTAATATTTCTGAGCCGAGACGTGCAGTGGTTAATATTTCTGGGCCGAGGCGTGCAGAGGTTAATATTTCTGAGCCGAGACGTGCAGAGGTTAATATTTCTGGGCCGAGGCGTGCAGAGGTTAATATTTCTGAGCCGAGACGTGCAGAGGTTAATATTTCTTTGCCCAGATGTGCAGGGGGTTAACAGTTCTGGGCCGAGACGTGCAGGGGGTTAACAGTTCTGGGCCGAGACGTGCAGGGGGTTAACAGTTCTGGGCCGAGACGTGCAGGGGGTTAATCTTCCAGCCTTTTGGGTGGAATGGCTCAGAACCTGCCAAATCCCAGCGGATCTGAGGGATTTTTTTCCTACATTCAGAGCCACTGAATGTGAGTGAATCTCCTGAGCCACGGGCCCGCAATGTTAAACTCTGCATCCCTCAGACACTAGGACATTCCTGTCTACTCAACGCATTAACCATTTCCCGTCCTGTGTTCCATCCCATTCTGTCAGGCCAAGTATTTAACGTGTGCTGTCTCTTTAACCCATTACATCTAAGGATGTGCTATACCCGAATTTTCTTATTGTGATCTCTGTTCCATTTACTGTAATATACTGTGATAATTTGTATGTACATGTGGTTCCCTGTATGTTCATATAACCCCTTCCATATCAGACTAGACCTCCCGCGTGATGTAATCCCTCATTTATCAACCAGTGAGCAGTGTTAAATGATCTCACTTCCGATACCCAGGGGAAGAGCAGGAGTCACTCACACGCTCAGCCATCCAGCTATCTGGCACGCTCCGGGTGGGGGCGCACCTAAACCTTGCCAGGTTTTAGGGCTTGGCTGTGGGTTGTATGGAGAGCCATGCCTTGTGTCTTTTGGCAATTAATTATTTCCACTTCTTGGCCAGTTGGGGGCTTGGACTTGTTGGGGTCTTGATTCCCATCATTAAGATACTCTGGCATACCATGGATTCCCTCCCAAGATACTTTCCTTCTGGGATTTAATCTCAGGTTTAATATTTAGAATCCTTAAATACCAAAAATCAAATAAAACGCCCTGCCATAAACGTGGATAAAATGTTTGACAAATTTCCTTCTTTGTTCCATATTTGCTACAATCGTGACCCTGGAAAGAGAAGGAACCAGTCACATTATTGGAAATGAAATCATTTTTTATTTCTTATTCATTTTTTTAAATTTTCATTTTTTTATTTTTTTTAATAAACTTTCTTATTATATTTTCAGTCTCTCAAAAACAAGTTACTTTAAAAACATGGGATTTGTTTTCCCTGAAATTTGATAGATATTTTTTCTTTTCCGCCTGGTCTTCCCATCTGTCACTTTCGATACAGAGACTCTGTCTCCTCATTGTGCACAGGTTAGCTTGCTGGCCAAGACCGTGCATGCTCTTGTCCCTGTCCCCCGCTCTTGTCCTTCAGTAAGAGGGGGCCGTATTCTGCTCACCCTCTCTCAGGCTGGGGCCTGTAAGACCAATTCCTGTGCGTTGCAGCAAAATGATACTCTCCCTCTCTCCTTGTGCTCTCCGGTAGGCTGGAAAGTCTGATCCACAGCAGGAGTTGGAGTTCTGATAAATCGTTCTTTGGCCTGAGTTTTGAGAGGTATTCCCTGAGGGGCTTTCAATTCCTCTGATAGTTGCCCCTATGTTCTGATTGTAGTTTTCCTTTCCCGATCTTTGCCCTAAGGAAATAAAGAATACTATTTGTGTATACAGTATATCCACGGAGCATCTCTAATCTCAGTGTTTAGGAGAATAGAAATAATGCATTTTACACTTTTATAGCCTCTATTAAAACAGAGATAGAAACATAGAATGTGACGGCAGATAAGAACCATTCGGCCCATCTAGTCTGCCCAATTTTCTAAATACTTTCATTAGACCCTGGCCTTATCTTATAGTTAGGATAGCCTTATGCCTATCCCACGCATGCTTAAACTCCTTTACTGTGTTAACCTCTACCACTTCAGCTGGAAGGCTATTCCATGCATCCACTACCCTCTCAGTAAAAGTAATACTTCCTGATATTATTTTTAAACCTTTGTCCCTCTAATTTAAGACTATGTCCTCTTGTTGTGGTAAAAATAACACCCTGTCCTTCGAGACGGAATTGAACCAGCGACCTAAGGATTGCTATCGCATATCTACTACAGTCCTCCGCTCTACCAGCTGAGCTATCGAAGGGAATATAAAGAAGAGTAATTTGAGCTAATTCCCCATCATAATTAAAAGGTGTCAATACAGCAGTGAGGACCTTCCTACTTTGATTAGGTCCTCCTTCCGTCCCTTCCTACCTCGGTTAGCTCCGCTTTCCTTCCCTTTTAACCTTTATGAGGTCTTCCTTACCTTCCTACATTGGTCAGGTCTTCCCTTCCTACCTTCCCTCCCCTTCCTACCTTGGTTAACTCCTCCTTCTTTCCCTTCCTACCTTGGTTAGCTCCTCCTTCCTTCCCTTCCTGCCTTGGTTAGCTCCTCCTTCCTTCCCTTCCTACCTTAGTTAACTCCTTCCTCCTTCCTTCCCTTCCTACCTTGGTTAACTCCTCTTTCCTTCCCTTCCTATCTTGGTTAGCTCCTCCTTCCTACCTTGGTGACGTCTTTCTTCCCTTCCCACGTGGTGAGGTCCTCCTTTCTCTCTTCCCCACCTTGGTGAGGTCCTCCTTCCCTTTCTACCTCACTGAGGTCCTCTTTCCTTCCCTTTCTACCTCACTGAGGTCCTCTTTCCTTCCCTTTCTACCTCACTGAGGTCCTCTTTCCTTCCCTTTCTACATCACTGAGGTCCTCTTTCCTTCCCTTTCTACATCACTGAGGTCCTCTTTCCTTCCCTTTCTACCTCACTGAGGTCCTCCGTAAAACTGATGCAATACTACCTGTTAATGAATTGAGTTTCTCTTTATCTCCCCAGAAGCAATGAGGCGATATGTGTTGTCATTCTGTAATATAATCTGCACAGGCCATCCCCGAAGAAAGTAAAATACAAATCCTCTTAATACAGCCTGATGTACACAGCGTGCTACTATAGATAGGGCAGAACGACCCAATAACTGACCTCAATGGGTTAAAGGCATTTGTAACCGGTTACACCAGATAATTTAACTCTCAGTCCTGATTAAATGCAGTGAGACATAAAGAGTAAATCCTAACTTTCTGGGGGTTGTCTGAAAAAAACATTGAGGGGCTATTAACCTGAACTGTGCGAATACAATTGTCTGTAGTGGTTATGGTGCTCAGTGTGACCTGTTACAATTACAGAATATCCAGACTGGTGCCGCCAATCTTCCTATGACACTTGCCCTCTCTGCTTCCTGCTTTAAAACAACAATTTCTTACTCTGTGAAATAAGGCTCGTATTTTACTCCCAGATAGAAACGTGATGGGGTGCAGGCTGGGAGATGCGTATAGCCCTTTCCTAATGAATGTCATTCCTTTGTGCCAGCGAGCCTGCTGCTAGTTCAGGTGTTTTACCCTCCGTGATGCATCCAGTGCTTACAACAGGTAACACCATATCGATAGACTCCTGAACAACAGACCACCGTAGACGTTATACCGTGTGAGTCCCTCACCGGGTGGAAACTAGTTAAAAAGTTATGAAGAATTCATTTTCTCATATAAAACACTACAAGTCAATGAATGGGTCCTCCAGCTAACACAATGTGCATAGTTTGGTTATCTTACTGATAGCCGCGATGCTTCTTATAATTAATCATTAAATCCACTAAAAGCTGCTATTAGCGGCGTTTCACACCAACCTGCTGGTCATGCTGATGCCAAACAACATGCGAGGGTCTATTGATATTATCATCATTGTTTGGTTTATTATTATATTCATAACTTTAAATAAAACATTCAGATGAAGTGGTTTTGGTGCTATGTGTCCCTTTAAGCAGGTCTGCATTAGAATATACTTCTTGCTGTCCATTGTGACTTTTCTGGCGTGGTACTTTCCACAGAGCTTAGTAATTAGCTGCTGTTTGCAATGTGCAGTGTGTCTGTTGGATTATTTATTGTGTCGCTGTGCAGTGTGTCTGTTGGATTATTTATTGTGTACATGAGACTGTGCGTTGGACTATTTATTGCGACGCTGTGCGTTGGACTATTTATTGCGACGCTGTGCGTTGGACTATTTATTGCGACGCTGTGTGTTGGACTATTTATTGCGACGCTGTGTGTTGGACTATTTATTGCGACTCTGTGTGTTGGGCTATTTATTGCGGCGCTGTGTGTTGGGCTATTTATTGCGGCGCTGTGTGTTGGGCTATTTATTGCGGCGCTGTGTGTTGGGCTATTTATTGCGACTCTGTGTGTTGGACTATTTATTGCGACTCTGTGTGTTGGGCTATTTATTGCGACTCTGTGTGTTGGTCTATTTATTGCGACTCTGTGTGTTGGGCTATTTATTGCGACTCTGTGTTTTGGGCTATTTATTGCGACTCTGTGTGTTGGGCTATTTATTGCGACTCTGTGTGTTGGGCTATTTATTGCGACTCTGTGTGTTGGGCTATTTATTGCGGCTCTGTGTTGGGCTATTTATTACGGCGCTGTGTGTTGGGCTATTTATTGCGGCGCTGTGTGTTGGGCTATTTATTGCGGCGCTGTGTGTTGGGCTATTTATTGCGGCGCTGTGTGTTGGGCTATTTATTTCGGCGCTGTGTGTTGGGCTATTTATTGCGGCGCTGTGTGTTGGGCTATTTATTGCGGCGCTGTGTGTTGGGCTATTTATTGCGGCGCTGTGTGTTGGGCTATTTATTGCGACGCTGTGTGTTGGGCTATTTATTGCGACGCTGTATCGCCGCTGCAATCCATGTTGTTTTCGAGCTTTCGTTCAGCTGTGTATTGTAAGAATTCCATGGAGACAGAAGATGGTTTTCCAAGATGTGTTTGAAAGCTGAGATGGAAAATTATCTTTAATGAAAAAAACTCCTGTTTAAATTAAATCTGTCAGTTTAGAGGGAAGACCCCACTGACTGAGATCTAGTGGGAATGTCTGGGGCAGTGAAATGTACTTTTATTAGTAGCTACTGTAATTATTAAAAATACAGACATATATACACACTTTTCATACCTGCTTTCCCCCCCTAGATTTTTCCATTTGGATTTAATTCACAAACATTTAGAGTTTAGGGAACAACCAAAATAGTTCCTGTCTGGTAAAGGGACGTGGACCGATCAATTGTTGCATTGTTGCTGGGTACATGTGCTGGTACAGAGGTCCATGATTGAAATTATTGTCTGAGTTTCCGAAATTCTTTATTCAGTATTTTTGTAGTAGTGCGTCTCTCTCTGTAGCCTAAATAGCACAGTTTAGTTGTGTTTACATTTTGAGACTATAACTAAAATTAAGAGGAGTCATTGACTGATCACCGCTTGCCCTCACATTAACAAGCAGTCATACGCTATAATCTTCAGTTAAACATATATGTAGGGCTAAACAAATCTCCACTTACTGCTAGCTATTGGCAAGTGAAAATTTAGTAGTAATTCATCCCTGATAAGTGTGCCGTAGACCCTCCAGCGCGAAGAGGCTGGTAACTTTTAAGGCTTGGCTGGTATGTAGGACTTGAAATTTTAAGCAATGATATTTGTACTGAGTCCTGCAACAAGTATAAAATCTCTCTACTGTTACATATTTCAAGAGAAAATGAGTTTGAAGCAATGTTTTGTTTTAAATATTTTCTCTTGGTTTTGGTTAAAATGAACATGTTACGTGTCAACTAATCTGTTATATTAGCATGCGTCATTCATAGATGATATGTGAAATACACAAAGTACTGATTGAGAATGTCAGGACGGCCTCCTACCTGCGGGAAGGTAGGTTTGGATTTAACCATGTCTGTGGCACAAAGTTCTGATTGAGAATGTTGGTTGGATGTCAGGACGGCCTCCTACCTGCGGGAAGGTAGGTTTGGATTTAACCATGTCTGTGGCACAAAGTTCTGATTGAGAATGTTGGTTGGATGTCAGGATGGCTTCCTACCTGCGGGAAGGTAGGTTTGGATTTAACTATGTCTGTGGCACAAAGTTCTGATTGAGAATGTTGGTTGGATGTCAGGATGGCTTCCTACCTGCGGGAAGGTAGGTTTGGATTTAACTATGTCTGTGGCACAAAGTTCTGATTGAGGAATGTTGGTTGGATGTCAGGACGGCCTCCTACCTGCGGGAAGGTAGGTTTGGATTGCTTCCATTACTGATTGTAGAAGAATGTTGGTTGGATGTCAGGATGGCTTCCTACCTCTTTGGGAAAATTAGGTTGGATTTAACTATGTCATGTGGCACAAAGTTCTGATTGAGAATGTTGGTTGTCAGGATGGCTTCCTACCTCTGGGGAAAGTAAGTTTGGATTTAACTATGTCTGTGGCACAAAGTTCTGATTGAGAATGTTGGTTGGATGTCAGGATGGCCTCCTACCTGCGGGAAGGTAGGTTTGGATTTAACTATGTCTGTGGCACAAAGTTCTGATTGAGAATGTTGGTTGGATGTCAGGATGGCTTCCTACCTGCGGGAAGGTAGGTTTGGATTTAACTATGTCTGTGGCACAAAGTTCTGATTGAGAATGTTGGTTGGATGTCAGGACGGCCTCCTACCTGCGGGAAGGTAGGTTTGGATTTAACCATGTCTGTGGCACAAAGTACTGATTGAGAATGTTGGTTGGATGTCAGGATGGCTTCCTACCTGCGGGAAGGTAGGTTTGGATTTAACCATGTCTGTGGCACAAAGTACTGATTGAGAATGTTGGTTGGATGTCAGGATGGCTTCCTACCTGCGGGAAGGTAGGTTTGGATTTAACTATGTCTGTGGCACAAAGTTCTGATTGAGAATGTTGGTTGGATGTCAGGATGGCTTCCTACCTGCGGGAAGGTAGGTTTGGATTTAACCATGTCTGTGGCACAAAGTTCTGATTGAGAATGTTGGTTGGATGTCAGGATGGCCTCCTACCTGCGGGAAGGTAGGTTTGGATTTAACTATGTCTGTGGCACAAAGTTCTGATTGAGAATGTTGGTTGGATGTCAGGATGGCTTCCTACCTGCGGGAAGGTAGGTTTGGATTTAACTATGTCTGTGGCACAAAGTTCTGATTGAGAATGTTGGTTGGATGTCAGGATGGCTTCCTACCTGCGGGAAGGTAGGTTTGGATTTAACTATGTCTGTGGCCTGCAATCGCAGACTGTGGACAGTGGGATCCCAGAACAATCCAATGTGTGGATCCCTACATAGTGAAACCAGCCCACGCCAACATATGATAAAATAGATATAATGCAGTCTGAAACCAAAAGGAGATGACCGGCTGTCTTACAAATCACTGCAACTAAAAGCCCAGCTCCCGCAGAGGGGGCTTTGTGCACCATGCATTTTCAAATAATTACTCTTTAAAGAGACACTCCGGGCACCAATATATCTTTAAAGGACCACTATAGGCAAGTGGTCTGGGTGCCTGGTCCAGCTAGGAGTAACCCTTTTTTTTTTTTTATAAACATAGCAGTTTCAGAGAAACTACTATGCTTAAACTGAGGGTTAATCCAGCCTCTAGTGGCTGTCTCATTGACAGCCGCTAGATGCGCTTGCGTGCTTCTCACTGTGAAAATCACAGTGAGAAGACACTAGCGTCCATAGGAAAGCATTGTGAATGCTTTCCTATGGACTGGTTGAATGCGCGCGGCACCTGCACTTCAGCCGAGAGGAGGAGGAGAGCTCTCCGCCTGGCGCTGGAGAAAGAGGTAAGTTTAACCCCTTCCTTTCCCCAGAGCCCGGCGGGAGGGGGACCCTCAGAGTATGTTTCCCTGGCACTATAGTGCTCCTTTAATGCATTTGATAGATTGTAGCCTCATTACTATGCTATATTTTTTTGCATTCTCAGATTTTTAGAGTTTTTGCATAAAATAAATGAATGTTTTGCAGAATAAGCCTGCCTCCTTCGCCATGCCCCCTGGTTTCAGAAAGACTTCCTTATCAATGTATGTACACAGTCTGAGCTGCTTCTAATTCCCAACCTGGCTGGAGAGTCAGAGAATCTATAAACTGTATACCTCCCTGGGAGTCCTCTACATCTAATGCAGGTCCGTGGCGGACCTGTGTACATACATTGATAAGGAAGACTGCTTCTGGAGTGACTGCTCTGTTGTACAATTTAGGAACCAATTGGGAATTACATGAGCCCAGCCCTGTACCCCACAGTCTGTTCTTAGTCATGACTCCCATTGGCCAAACTGGCGGACTGAATATCACAATCTTACAATTTGTGTACAAATAAAAATAAATAAAATCACCCTCCTTCTGATGTTTGGTTTGGAAACTTTGTAATTCTGTGTAAAGCTCAATACAAATCATATAAATATCCCACGTGACCCCACAGTGAATCTCTGCTCACTACAGCCACAAATGCAAAAACATTTGCTAATGCTAAATCATCCACACCCATCTCTTATTCCTCAACAAACAAACACGCTATATGTAGAATCTACTAATCAGTATTTTCTCACTTTCTAAATTCCTTGAAAACAGAATTTCATTTGGTCCTTGCAATTTACTTTGAGTCTACGTCAACTTGGTGCTGTTTGAAATGCACTCAAAGCCACCAGGAGTATTCATTATATTGGATTATAACCCTCACCCTGTGCCAGTACCCATCACTGCTCTATTACAGGACCCCTCACCCTGTGCCAGTGCCCATCGCTGCTCTATTACAGGACCCCTCACCCTGTGTCATTACCCATCGCTGCTCTATTACCAGACCCCTCACCCTGTGTCATTACCCATCGCTGCTCTATTACAGGACCCCTCACCCTGTGTCAGTACCCATCGCTGCTCTATTACAGGACCCCTCACCCTATAACTGTACCTATCACTGCTCTATTACAGGACCCCTCACCCTATAACTGTACCTATCACTGCTCTATAACAGGACCCCTCACCCTGTGTCATTACCCATCACTGCTCTATTACAGGACCCCTCACCCTGTGTCAGTACCCATCGCTGCTCTATTACAGGACCCCTCACCCTGTGTCATTACCCATCGCTGCTCTATTACAGGACCCCTCATCCTGTGTCAGTACCCATCACTGCTCTATTACAGGACCCCTCACCCTGTGTCAGTACCCATCGCTGCTCTATTACAGGACCCCTCACCCTGTGTCAGTACCTATCACTGCTCTATTACAGGACCCCTCACGCTATAACTGTATCTATCACTGGTCTATTACAGGACCCCTCACCCTATCACTGTATCTATCACTGCTCTATAACAGGACACTCACCCTATAACTGTACCTATAACTGCTCTATTACAGGACCCCTCACCCTATAACTGTCTGTGGCACCTACAGATTTATTTAATGTGGATCTGTCACTGCCTGGGAACTTTGCATTGTTTGCAAAGACCCCCAGCAGTGACATCGCCGCTACGGGTCTGGTGGGGGTGGCAGTGGGCAGGGCAGGTAACAGTGAGTTTTACTTAGCTGCACCTGTCCTTTACAGGCACCGCCATAGCCTTCCTGCCATTTCCCGTGCCAGGAGCTGACGTCACTGCTGTTCTCTTGCGTGTGTGCAAGAGTACTGCATTGAGGTCTATGGAGATCTTGCAAGACCATTGGTTTCTCCATAGATAGAGCCACTTCCCTGCAGCTGTCTATGGTGTCGGCTGGAGGTATCACACTTCCTGATGGTGGTAGGTTCGCCCAGTGTCTAGAAAAGTCAGGCGTAGCCTAGCATTGACCCAGCTCAGTATCTGTACACCTGCTACCCATAGGCCTGGATAATGTTCCCCTAGTATGGACGTAACCTAGCATTAACCCAGCTCAGTGACTGATTTACAAATAGTGTTTGTACACCTGTTAGTTACCCATAGACCTGAATAATGTTCCTCTAGCATTGACCCAGCTCAGTGACTGACATATAGTATCTGTACACCTGTTACCCATAGGCTTGGATAATGTTCCTCTAGTATGGACGTAACCTAGCATTAACCCAGCCCAGTGACTGATTTACAAATAGTGTTTGTACACCTGTTAGTTACCCATAGGCCTGGATAATGTTCCTCTAGCATTGACCCAGCTCAGTGACTGACTTACATATAGTATCTGTACACCTGCTAGTGACCCATTGGCCTGGCTAATGTTCCTCTAGTATGGACGTAGCCTAGCATTGACCCAGCTCAGTGACTGACTTACATATAGTATCTGTACACCTCTTGGCTTTCCCATTGCATCTCTGAAAGCATCTTCACATTGCCAGTTGAATGGCTTACAGACAGGATATGTACTGCTCTTACTCACCATCTTTCTCTGGTTGCTGAGACAGAAGGTGCAGATCTGTTTGGGTTGACCCTGCTCGGTCTCCCTGTGCTTGGGGCTGGCAGTATTGGGATGATGGTAGTAGGGCGTGCTGGTATGGCATGGCTGCCCATCTCCGCATGTGTCGCCCAGAAGAAGTACGTTGCCCAAATGCGATATGTAACTGGATGCCAATCGCAGCGTTTCGATTTTTGAAAGTTTGCGATCTGCTGGCTCAGTCGGTATAAGTGTACGTAGCGCTGTGAAGGCATTATTAACGCTGTTGGTGCGGTCTCTTTCGCGTGCGTTGGCGGTGTGGCGCTGTCTAGGCTCACGCTGCAGTCGTGGACACTTCTTTTCTCCCCTTTTGCCAGGTCTGCCAGGATGATGAAACGATTTATCACCACATCCTGAGCTGTCACTGCTGCTGTCCTCATCATCTGAGAGCATGCTGATTTCCGGGTACAGGAAGCGGGCAGGGGGTGCATGGCGGAGCATCGCAAAAGACATGATGGACACAAGTTCACCCAGATTTGGAGAGTCAGTGACCTATAACCACTACTATATTCAATGCGTGTGTCTCGTTTTTTCTGTCAGATACCCAGGCTTCACTTTAACGTTCTGTCTATTCTACCCAAAGTTAATAAGTGCATCCGTCAGGTGGATCTCTTTAGACTAGACTTGCTCGTGTCACTGTGTCCTCTGTGACTCTCTCCTCTCCCCTCTCTCTGTCTCACTTGCACGTGCGGAGTGCGGCTGTCTGCCTGAGCTGCAGCTGTGATTGAGTTTTTATAGTGACCCACGAGATTGGGTCTGGTCCTCCCTCAGCCGGCAGCAGACACGGGCGGGGGGGTCTCCATCGGAAGCTGGATAAGGGGGAGGGTGTCCCCAGACGGCTGTGGGATTTAACAGCCCAGACTTGCCTGTGCTTCTTAACAAGACACAGTGTTAACTCTTGCTGCATCTGAGGGATATAGGAAGCAGTTTACATTACATCACTTTCTACCCAATCTATAGGAGTAACGCACAGAGAAAAAAGCCTTTGTAGTGAATAAATTATCTGCTAAGGAGACCGTACTTGAAGGCACATTCTCTTCACTGAAACCACTTCAGATTGATGGATCATTGTAGTGGTTATTGTGGGTAAGATAGTCTTTGGGTGCAGTTCTCCTATTTTCTGTCAGTTTTCAAATGGTTGGGGGGAAACGGCAGGAATTTCCCTGCACCCGAACCCTGCGCTCAGCTGCCAAGATAATGGAGAAGGTTCACTTCCTTGGTATCTGTATGGATTTGCCCAGGCCTGGACCTCTTTGAGCTGCGCGGTGGGTGTGGCTGAGCCCATTGCAGAAGGGAGTATTGGGTAGGGGATTAATTTCTTTATTCTATGTGTGGGCAGCTGATGGACCAGAGGTTAGCCGACACATTCAAGTAAAGGTATCCGGCTGCAGACACTGGTCTGCTTGAAATCTGGTGATATTCCTTGCTCCTTTTAGAGTGAAATTTCTTTTCATGCCCCATTGTACTTCGTTAATTGTTCACGTTGGTCTCCGCAGCTGCGATATAACCCCCCCCCCCCTCGCCCCATTAATGACATGATGACATTATCAGGGAGGAGTTTCTTTAAAAAGATGAAATAGCATCAGTCACTGTGCATTAGTGCCATAGCCACCAGTGCGGCGAATCTTTCTCAGAGAATGCAACGGACAATGACACGCTGTATGTACCTCCTCCTGTGCTGTGAACTGTGATATACAATGCCATAAATCAGCTGGGGACAGTCCACGTAATACTGCACTAAGCAAGGATCTCTAACATTCATCATTTCATACAGACTTTAAATGTTGCATAAATCCCATCTAGTCTCACTGTTAGTTCTTCAACACTTCCATAAAGTAAATGACAGTGACAGGATTAATGGGATAAAGGGACAGTGCTGTATATAGTGACCTAATGACAGTGACAGGATTAATGGGATAAAGGGACAGTGCTGTATATAGTGACCTAATGACAGTGACAGGTTTAATGGGATAAAGGGACAGTGCTGTATATAGTGACCTAATGACGTGCCAGGTTTAATGGGATAAAGGGACAGTGCTGTATATAGTGACCTAATGACAGTGCCAGGTTTAATGGGATAAAGGGACAGTGCTGTATATAGTGACCTAATGACAGTAACAGGTTTAATGGGATAAAGGGACAGTGCTGTATATAGTGACCTAATGACAGTGACAGGTTTAATGGGATAAAGGGACAGTGCTGTATATAGTGACCTAATGTCAGTGACAGGTTTAATGGATAAAGGGACAGTGCTGTATATAGTGACCTAATGACAGTGACAGGTTTAATGGGATAAAGGGACAGTGCTGTATATAGTGACCTAATGACAGTGACAGGTTTAATGGGATAAAGGGACAGTGCTGTATATAGTGACCTAATGACAGTGACTGGATTAATGGGATAAAGGGACAGTGCTGTATATAGTGACCTAATGACAGTGACTGGATTAATGGGATAAAAGGACAGTGCTGTATATAGTGACCTAATGACAGTGACAGGTTTAATGGGATTAAGGGACAGTGCTGTATATAGTGACCTAATGACAGTGACAGGTTTAATGGGATAAAGGGACAGTGCTGTATATAGTGACCTAATGACAGTGACAGGTTTAATGGGATAAAGGGACAGTGCTGTATATAGTGACCTAATGACAGTGACAGGTTTAATGGTATAAAGGGACAGTGCTGTATATAGTGACCTAATGACAGTGACAGGTTTAATGGTATAAAGGGACAGTGCTGTATATAGTGACCTAATGACAGTGACAGGTTTAATGGGATAAAGGGACAGTGCTGTATATAGTGACCTAATGACAGTGACAGGTTTAATGGGATAAAGGGACAGTGCTGTATATAGTGACCTAATGACAGTGACAGATTTAATGGGATATAGGGACAGTGCTGTATATAGTGACCTAATGACAGTGACAGGATTAATGGGATAAAGGGACAGTGCTGTATATAGTGACCTAATGACAGTGACAGGATTAATAGGATAAAGGGACAGTGCTGTATATAGTGACCTAATGACAGTGACAGGTTTAATGGTATAAAGGGACAGTGCTGTATATAGTGACCTAATGACAGTGACAGGATTAATGGGATAAAGGGACAGTGCTGTATATAGTGACCTAATGACAGTGACAGGTTTAATAGGATAAAGGGACAGTGCTGTATATAGTGACCTAATGACAGTGACAGGTTTAATGGTATAAAGGGACAGTGCTGTATATAGTGACCTAATGACAGTGACAGGATTAATGGGATAAAGGGACCGTGCTGTATATAGTGACCTAATGACAGTGATAGGTTTAATGGGAAAAAGGGACAGTGCTGTATATAGTGACCTAATGACAGTGACAGGTTTAATGGTATAAAGGGACAGTGCTGTATATAGTGACCTAATGACAGTGACAGGTTTAATGGTATAAAGGGACAGTGCTGTATATAGTGACCTAATGACAGTGACAGGATTAATGGGATAAAGGGACAGTGCTGTATATAGTGACCTAATGACAGTGACAGGATTAATGGGATAAAGGGACAGTGCTGTATATAGTGACCTAATGACAGTGACAGGTTTAATGGTATAAAGGGACAGTGCTGTATATAGTGACCTAATGACAGTGACAGGATTAATGGGATAAAGGGACAGTGCTGTATATAGTGACCTAATGACAGTGTCAGGTTTAATGGGATAAAGGGACAGTGCTGTATATAGTGACCTAATGACAGTAACAGGTTTAATGGTATAAAGGGACAGTGCTGTATATAGTGACCTAATGACAGTGACAGGTTTAATGGGATAAAGGGACAGTGCTGTATATAGTGACCTAATGACAGTGACAGGTTTAATGGGATAAAGGGACAGTGCTGTATATAGTGACCTAATGACAGTGACAGGCTTAATGGGATAAAGGGACAGTGCTGTATATAGTGACCTAATGACAGTGAAAAGTTTAATGGGATAAAGGGACAGTGCTGTATATAGTGACCTAATGACAGTGACAGGATTAATGGGATAAAGGGACAGTGCTGTATATAGTGACCTAATGACAGTGACGGGTTTAATGGGATAAAGGGACAGTGTTGTATATAGTGACCTAATGACAGTGACAGGATTAATGGGATAAAGGGACAGTGCTGTATATAGTGACCTAATGACAGTGACAGGTTTAATGGGACAAAGGCATATAGTGAATATAGTGACCGCTTCATCGACAGGGACAAAGTGCTGCATATAGTGAATATAGTGACCGGTTTAATGGGATACAGGGACAGTGCTGTATATAGTGAATATAGTGACCGGTTTAATGGGATACAGGGACAGTGCTGTATATAGTAAATATAGTGACCGGTTTAATGGGATACAGGGACAGTGCATGGTCTAAAAACCTTACATTGCTTTTCTTTCCTTTTTGCTATCCACAAGTACCAGTGAGCAGGTAATGCAATATGTGTGGAGGAACATGAGACAAAACTCTTCATTTTAAAACTTTCCGACGATTGGGGGTTGCAAAGGTTGTCAATAACTTTTTTTTTTTTAAAGTTACAAAAGAATTTAGAAGCACTTACAGGTATAAAATCCTCTTTATTCAGTTTCAACCTTCTCTCTACGGAACATGCTAGATGCCATATATACCCTGTTCCAAATTATTCTGCAAATTCTATTTAAGTGTCACAAAGATTTTGTTTTTCAGTTTAACTCATGGATGGCATTGTGTCTCAGGGCTCTTTTAATCACTGAAAACAATCTCGGACACCTGTGATAATTAGATTGCCAGGTGAGCCCAATTTAAGGAAAAACTACTGTGGCAAACCTAGCCACTTCAGATTATGCTGTGATATGTCTAAGGGTTGTCCTAGAAAAGCTGGTCAACGTCTGTGAGTTTATGTATTCGCTTATAACTGTAAGAGAGGGCATTCGTATGCTAGCGGCACGAAAGCCGCTAGCATTCATATGGTAGTTTCACGAACAGTGACTTTCAACACTGTTCGTGAAACGAACAAAGTACCGAATGGGAGCCCACACACATGGGGTCGTGTGGCTCCCATTAACCGATTGCAACATTGTATCAATTGGCTGCTAATTGAGTCCCAGGGTGGCCGTTGTTCGGATACCGACCACGCAGCGGCGGCCATCTCTTGATTCCCTTTTAGCCCAGCGGTGTTTGGTCATCGAGTGCCTGGAACTAAAATCGGATACTCGACGGCGTGAACACCGCTGGACTTCCAGGCCGTTCAGGAGCGCCGGTCTTTCGGAACTTTCTTCTAACCTATGTATTCGTGACTTTTATGAAGAGCTGATATTGAAATGTATTTCATGCAGCGTTCGGTTAATTGTGCTGGGATCTGAGCGGTACTTTCACAAAGTGTGCGCTCAGACCCCAACTATCTGCCGAACGGTCATTTGGTACAATGGCACGAATAAAATATAAGTTACCGATTTTTATG